AACCAAAAGCTAAGTTAAATATGCATATTTAGTATGACGTAAGAGTTTGAGAATATTGGAAGTTAATGTTTTTTTTTCACTAGTGTACGAGCAGGAAAACTGTAGACGTGCCCTTCAGTTTACAAGGTCAGACCTGGCTACAAACACACACATTTCATCGTCTAAAACAAACTGTTCTGAGACGAAATGAAGAGTTATAGACATACAATTCTTTGACTAACATTTTTGACTAAATTTTTTGACATTTAAAATTTATACCAGATACAGGGCTTCACCAAGTTATACCACCACAGCGATGTGAAAAACTTAATTCTATGTGGTAAGCAATGAAGCTTATCTTAAGAGGCCATTCTGAATAATTTTCATACTACCATAGTTAGATTTTTTTTCCCCTAGAGTCTTACAGTTGCCTCTTTTTATTAGTTTCAAGTGTACAAAACAACTAGTGAGTAGACATTTATATACCTCACAAAGTGATCACCCCAATAAGTCTATTACCATGTGATACTGTACATAGCTATTAGAATATTATTGAATCTATTCCCTATGCTGTACTATACAACCCTGTGACTATTTTTTTTCTAATTATAGCTGTTCCAGTGCCTTCTAATGCCTTAATCCTTCTATGGTTGTGATTTATGCACATGAAGTAGCATCGACTTTTTCAGGCCAGGGATTACTGCTTGGTAAGTTGTTCTTCAAGTTCTAGAAACAAGGATTTTCTAAGCTCTTATCCACTCAAAACTTCCGCTATACACACACGAATATGCGGAATATGGGGAATATGCGGCTGGTCATGTGTTCACAGGCTCCTCTGCTGCTCTCCTCCAGGCTCCTGTTCTAAAGCCCATCCTCTCTTTCTCCCTTCCTCTGCCACAAAACTTGCCAAGGTAGCAGGGAACCCTCACCGCCTCTGATTCATCAGGACCTCGTCCATTCTCCACCAGCTGTAATTTGCTTTCCATTACACTCCACTCAGTGGTCATGACTCTAAAAATGTGGACCCAGACCAGCAACACCAGCATCACTTGGGATCTTGAGAGAGATGCAAATTATTGCGCCTCACCTCAGAAACCCTGGGGGTGGGCCCAGTGATCTGAGCAGTAAACAGCCCTCAGAGGATCTGATGCATCCTGAAGTTTGAAAACCTCCACTCTATGGAGACTGCATGGTGGTTACCATGGTAACCCAAACCTGCTTCTCCTCGCTCAGCCTTCTTCAGTAGCTGAAGCACCCTCTCTTATGGGCACTCACTCCTGGTGCCTTTGCACTGCCCCCTCCTTCGTGGTCCTCCTACTTCTTACATTGTTCCTATTTGCACTCTTCCCACTTCTTCCTGTCTCCGGATTTTCCAAGGAACTGCCACTGGCCCTCTTCTCTTGGATGTCTACACCCTGCCCTGGAAAATTCCATTCACTCCCCTGGCTAACGTCATCACGTCTGTGCCTCTGATCCCCAAATTGTATTCTCCAGCTTTTAGTTTCAACTGTTTGCCATCAGTTCCAAAGGCCTTTGGGACACTAACGCCCCAAAGACCTACTGTGAGTTACAATACAGAATCATTACAATGAAAACCACCATCTTTCTTACCACACCTGTATCTCTTCTGGGTTTCCAGTCTTCTTTTCCCTCCAACCACATTTTCTCAGTCCCTTAGGTATGGAAACCTCTTTCTCTCCTCAACTCTCAATGATCAAATATCTGCTAAGTCATTTGGCCTATAATTTTATACCATTTCTCAGATCCTTTGACTTTTTCCTCTGTAGATTATTATTATTATTTGCCTATCCAGAAGGCAGAACCACAATCTGTTCTTTAGAGTGAAAGCTAGAGAGATTATAGAAGAACTTTCTAACAGAGGTGCCCACAGATGTGTTTGGGAATTCCCTGTCTCCAGGGATATTCAAACACGGGCTGGATGACCACACAGCAGAGGCTCCAGTGTCTCTGATAAGTGGTTGGATTTGATGACACTTGATATCCTACTCAACCTTGAGATAACGTGGTTCCTTTCATCAGCATTTTCTTTCAAGCCCTCATTGCCTACCCCACCCTCACAGTGTGAGCAAATGTTTCTGTCTCAAATCTGTCTGACAATTCAGGCAGACCTGGGTTTTCTATGTGACCTACTTTCCCCCCACTCCAATCCTCACGCACGTGTATGAGACTCATTCATTCACTCACTTAACCTTCTATGTGCTGGATGCTGGAAACAGAGAGTTGGATGAGCTACTCTTTTTTTTTTTTTTCAGCCTACGCCATCGCAGGCGACTCACGGCAGCCCAGCTCCAGCTTGAGCTGTCGTTCAGCATCTTAGTTGTGGAGGGCAGTGTCACTGGCCCTCATATGTGGGATCCGAACCGGGGCCCTCTGGCATCCCAAGCCAGCTCTTAACCATCGCGCCACTCGGCCGGCCCAGGATGAGCTGCTCTTGCCTTCAAATACCATCCAGGTGGAGAGAAGGACGTCTCCATCACGGATGATACAAAGGGTGACGGGAGCATCAAGGGCCAACGGGGGAAGAGAGAAAAGGCATCATTTAACCTGGTCAAAAGGCCTAACCATGCGGACTGAGTTTTGAGGGCTGAGTAGACATTATCTTCGTGAACACAATGGAAAAGAACCTTCCAGAAAGACCGCTAAAGGCAAAGGCACATAAATATGAGGAACCATAATATGTTTGGGAGTTATAAGTGTTCATTATAGATGAAGCAAAGAGTCATGGGAAGAGAGAGATGAGTAAAGACCATTTACAAAGGGCTGTGTTTTAAGTGGAAGACTTTTAGCTTTATTTTTCCACTATGGGGAAGCCAACAAGTGACCTGATCAGATCTGCTCCTTAGGAAGATGAGTAGGAGAGTTTGGAAGAGAGTCAGAATAGAGGAGAGAGAGAAATTGATGTAAAATAGGCAAGAGGTGATGAGAGTTCAGCTAAGGCAATGGCAGAGGGAATGGAGAGTGATGCATGGATTCTAGCGGTACTCCTGAGGCAGCATTCACAGAGTGTGAAAGACCGATGATGTGAGGGGGCAAATCACCCCGAGTGACCTTGGGATTTAAGCTAGGTGACTGTGTGGGTCATGGACAAAGCCTGTGTAGGGAATATAAATGGAGAAAAAGATCAGAACAGCGTTAGCGGGCTTGTCACTAAGAAAGGAGAGACGAGAGGAGATGGGTAATAAGTTCAGAAGCAGAAAGGGAAGGGGAGGTATGAAAAGATGTGAGCTTATTATTAGGAGTATTACATATAATAATCACTGACACAACTGACTGAAGTTCTACTTCATACCAGGCACGAAACCTCACAGAACCCCTACAGGACGGTCATGAGCACCCTTATTTTACAAACGTGGAAGACACAGGCTCAAAGACGTGAAGAAACGTGCCCAACGTCATCCCGTGCCAAGATTCAAAGAGAAGCCTTATGTTTAATATTTAATAAAGGCTGTTTGGCAAATATGAGCAAGAGCCAGACTTCTCCCCATTCCCTGTTCCTTTAGGCCTTTGGAGTATTGCATTTAACAGATTGAAACAATACAGACAAACTGGATATTTTGTTCCACGACAATTGGGAGAAACTTCTCTTCACCTTGTTGTGTTTCCTTCAGGTTTTATATGATTTAAGTTTTTTTTGTTTTGTTTTTTAATTAAAGTTTATTGGGGTGACAATTGTTAGCAAGGTTATGATTTAAGTTTTAATTGACTCCATCATAGTCAGGCAGATCTGTTATTTATTTCGAAGGTGGAGTTGGACCAGTGGTTTGCAAAGCATGGTTCCAGACCCAGCCGCATTCGCCTCACTTTGGGGACCTGTTGGAAATGAAAGTTCTCCAGCCCCATCATAGACCCACTGACTCAGAAGTGATCTGTGTTTTCCTTTCACGAGTCCTCCAGCTGATTCTGAGGCTGGCTGAAGTTTGAGAACTACTGAGAACTACTGAAAAGGCTAAAGTGTAGCATCAGGCATTTATGAAATGTTATGTTCTGTGGCAAGGGGCTAATCTAAATCGTGGTGAATTCAAATGCCATGGCTACTGCCTAATGAAAGAACTGCTAATAAGAATTCTGCACAGGGAAATCTTGGGAAATCGTAACATCTTAGTTTCTCTAGATGCCAATTCTCACACCATACCTTGTTCAGCATATGTGCATTTGAGTAACCTCACTAAAATCTATCAGTTGCTCTTTTACTGATCACTCTGCATAACCCAAATAGAGTGAATTTGAATCCTAAATCCCCCAGAACTGACCTAAGTATAGGACTGCCAGAGAAATGCAGTGGTTCCAAGTTTAACCATCAACTCAGCTCAGGGTGGATGGCCACATAAGACCAATTACAATTTTGAAATTAGATGGCTAATGGTCACAACACAATCAGAGTAAATAAAGGACACCACTTGTTTCTCAAAAAACAACACAGAGAAACAAGCTTTGGAAAGATACACAATACTGTAAGGTGTTTTGTTTGTTTGTTTGTTTTGTGGATGTGTGGTAAAAAAGTGGGTAGGGACAGTTCCTGAGTGAGGTAATATATCTACATACTTTCTTAACAAAATATTACTAACATAGGAGGGCCCCACCTATGTGGCTGGCCGAGCAACTGTCAGCTTTTTGAAAGGGTGACTGTCTGCACTTCAAGATTTCAAGTTACATATAATGGAGAGTGGAATTTGTGCGGGGAAAAAGAAAAACATTCCGGTCAAAGATACCCGAAGCAGCTGGGATTTTTGGTAATTTATCTAACAGAATGGGCTTAAACAAGCAAACAAAAGCAGTCCCAACATACCTGCAGATGAACTGTGTCCTCTCAAGTGTGGAGAAGTCACAGGGGACACTCTGAGAGGTCCAGGCTAGCCTGAACTAGCTATTTTTGGAATGAGCTTGGCGGCCAGTTTCCCCATGTGACAAAGGCCGCATCTTCCCCAGCATGTATTGTCATTGTTGGAGCACACAAAGCAACAGATCAAGCAAACACTATCATGACAGAGCATGCTACTAACCTGCTCATGAACTTGTACCGGCGGGGCAGGTAATAGATTTTTCTCCTGGAAGAACAGCAAAAATGAAGCCAGTCGAGAAGAAAACCCATCGTCAGTTACAGTTTGAACTAGCAAGGAAGGAAAGGAGATTGAAGATAGAAGCCTGTAAGAGGTGAAGAAGAAAAAACTAAAAAGAGATTAACAGTGAGAAATGTAGTGGGGACATCGGGCATGCATTTTTGAGTCATGCAATCTTATGAACCAGCTTCCCATTGATATTTCTTCCTCTCCTCATTACCATCATTTTTAGGGTAGCCACTTGCCTACAAAACCTCGACAGGGTGATGATTTGGAGCAATCGGTATTTGTATGAGTTCAGCTGAGATCAGCTTTTTTTCAGGAATGCAGAGATGGTGCTGGCAATGCACATAATTTAATGGGACACTATTAAATTAACCAACACGTATACAGCACTTTAAGTTTGCAGAACATGTCTCTCGTTTGATATAGGCAGGGGAAATATAAAAATATAGAATTTTACAACCAGTATGAGAAGAACACTACTAACTAGTCAGTATCAACATCCAGCTGTAAATAACCACACCAGGGCATGCAGCCTCAACAGTGGCCCTGAGTATAGGGGAATTAAAGAGGTAAACCAAGGAATCCTGGAATTTTTTAAAAATCAAACTTAATAAGGATCTGGCCTACTTCTGTATCTGCAATTTTTAATATTAAAAATGAAAATTCTGGGTGTAGTTTGAATGAAGAGACCATGTGCTAGATGCCTTATTAAAATGCAAACTCCCTTTCCATATTTTGGGCTTCAACCAATGGAGCAGTCATGAAACTGAGGCCCTTTGTATGTATTCTGTTACTGAGCTCTCTCACTTTTGGAAAATGGGAAGTTTATACACCGAAACTCATTTTTCCTATCTGTGAAAACTTAAAAGCATAACCATGTTTTTGGCAAGCAAAACTACAGAGACAATACAAAGATCAGTGGTTGCAAGTGGTTTGGGTTGGTGGGGGAGTAAGGGGGCAGAGATGAATAGCTGGAGTACAAGGAATTTTTTTAGGGCAGTGAAAATATTCTAGGTGATGCCTTACTGGTAGGTACATGACATAATGGATTTGTCAAAACCCACAGACCTGTACAAAACAAAGAATGAACCCTAAAGTAAACTATGGACTTTAGTTAATAATAATGTATTAAAATTGGTCTATGAATTATAAAAAACATACCACACTAATGCAAGGTGTTAATAATAAGGAAATTGAGTGGGGTGAGAGGGGGTATGTGGGAATACTCTGTACTATCTACTCAATTTTCTGTAAACCTAAAAAATGCACTAAAAATAGACTTAATTTAAGAGGAAAACTTCTATCCATGGACATACAGGGATTCAAGCAGGTTTTACTGGCAATTTCCCACAAGAAACCTATAATTCAGCTTCTTTTAAACATTGTAGGAATAACAATCCAAGGAGACTAAACCTGGGATTCAGAAGTGCAGTCTGCAGAAAATGATAAATACAGATAAGATTATATGGGGGTGTTTACAGTCAGGCAAATTGATATGATAGTTGTACGTTTTGTTGAAATGATATGGCAGGGCAGTTCCTCCTCTGGAAATGCATATACCTCCTTAGGTAGAGTTATTGGTCTGAAACGTTGGATGAGATGATAGCATAAATTGGAAATGCATCAGGGCGCATCAGGTGGAACTACATTCAGGTGAAAGCATATCAATATTAATGAGGCCTATCAGGGTCCATACATTAACAGTATTTTCTCCTAAAAGTGTTGGCCTGCAGGAATGCCTACATTTAGAAAGAAGATTATTATTCATAGTTATTATGGTTTTCATTTTCTTGCTTGGACCACATTCTCTTAATGCTGCATAAGAAACGTCCTACTGCTGCTGCAGACAGCACTTTTCTGCGAGGTAATGGGCCTGCAGAATTGTGAGGTATGACGAAGCCAGGCCCTTCATACAGGAAACCCTTCCAGGGACTAGGGGAGCTTGCTGTCCATTAACATTGCCCGAGTTTCCACCATCTGCTCAGGTTCTTGCCTCCAGATAGATGTATGTTCCGGCAGAAGGTTTTATGAGATTTCTACTGGGGGGGGGGCTGGGGGCATCAATTTCACTAAATTTCACTACCTTACTTTTATCACAAGGTAGAATTTGGTCTTTGTTGGCCAGAAGATGTTGATCTGATATATGACTCTGTCTAAGCATGTTTTGTAGTGGTCCTTATGTGTGACTTATTATTAATCCATATTAGATAGTTATAGCATTGATTACTGGCTTTAATTAATTATGAATTATAGTATAATAATTTTCAATAAAAACTAAATTGATATTCCTTCTCTCTCTTAGTGATAAATATACATGTTTTAAATCCCTGCATTCTTAGATTTCCTTTGTAACATTTGAAATACAAAAAAATAAATCCAAAGATTAGAACTGTGTTTATCTCCATTCTTTTGAGAAAGTTGCCTTGAGTCAAATAGATGCGAGAAATCATAGCCTCTGTTTCGACTGAATATTAGACCATGAAGGCCAACAAACAAAGAAAATAATATGCACCAGGGACATATATTACTGGCCTCGGAATGGAAATGGCCCTTCTCTAAATGTGTCCCTAGCTCCTCTCCATCCCTAAAAATGTAGCTGATTCTTTGTCTCTATTACTTTCCACAGCTCATTAAGAGGTATATTTTAGAATTGGCACCAGTTCGCCTATTTCCTGTTGTCTGACTTGACCTTATTGGCAAATTGCGAACCAAAAGTATGCAGTTCGTGAGTCCCTTTGGAACTGTCCTTGGTACTAAATTCCTCCACTTCCTCCAGGAGATTCCATTACGGACTACCCACATATCTGGCAATTATAATGTCAGGTTTAATACTTTATTTTATTTCCATCTAGCAAATGAAGATCACTTTTCCTTAATCTATAGGGAAAATAAGAACAGTCACTGTGAGATGAAGGGAAATTCATCCTTTTAAACAACTAAGCAAGCCACACAAAGCAGTTTCCATTCCTCTTGGAATAAATATCAATGCTTGGGTTTGAACACTACTCACAAACTGAGTTTTTAAAATTTAAAAATAGGCTACTTTTAGCAATAGAGCATGCTTTCATGAAATTTGTTGAGCTTGTTTCTATGGAAGCAGATTTTAATGATTTTCTAGAAGGGACCTGTCTGTTAAGGACCATGAATATTGCCTGGTACTACTGATGCCTGGAATCTGGCCCTTCAAAGCAGCAGTACTCAAGGCTCTGAAAAATGGCACTTTGGAAATGAACATGTCACTTGGAAAATTCTTTCTCACAGGCACTTGAAATATCTACCTGCTAAGGAATGAATTAGCCAAAAATTTCACAAAAAGCCATGAAATCATTATTGACTAAGAAGACTTATTGAGCTTCTTAAACATTCGAAGGATTGTCTTCTCTAATAGCATTGCCCTTCATTTCAGTTTCATTTGTTCAGAGAGAGGAGCGCAATAGGTTTACAGCGAAGCAGCAGAGAGAGTAGGGAAAATATATTGACACCTACCTGAAAGGCATTCTTACATTCATTTGTTCTGCATATCTTCCAAGCACTTCCCATGGGGCATGCAACTTCACAAAGATAATGTCACTATTTATTAGAGAGGACTGAAACAGAAAAAAGAAACTAAATTGAAAATCACATCCAAGTCTCTCTCCTATGGTTTAAATTGAGTTGGAAGTTAGAAAGCATGAACTTGTATGGAGTTTAAGTTTGGGGCATTCTTCCATCATAAGCTGGGCCACTGTATGTGTATATATTCATTCAACAAATATACCACTGTTGCAGGCCCTAGAGACCCAGCTGTGAACAGGAGAGCTATGAATGGCATTTACATTCTGTAAAAATATATTTTAAAAAGAGAGGCAAAAAAGTTAAAAAAGAGAGTGATACATTCAGGTAGTGATGCATGTTCTGAAGATAACACAGTAACGGGAAAAATAATTATGGGGTAGGGTGGGGCACACACTGTTTTGGAGAAGAGGTCGAGGTAAGGCCTCTCTGAGGAGGGGCTACGTGAGCTGGGATTTAAAAAAGGAGCCAGATGGGTAAAGACCGTGGGATGAGTGTTCTGGGTGCAAAGGCCCTAAGCTGGGAAATTGCTTGGTATTTCCTACATTTGAGGGGCAGAAGGAGAGTAGAGTAGCTGCGGTGTATTTATCATGAAGCTTGGCACGAGAAGACGCTGGAAAAGTGAGCAGGGGCCAGAGGGCACTGCTTCACAGGCCACAACAAGACAGCTGGAATTTACTCTAATGTCACTAGCAAGCCATTTGGACTCAGGTTTTCAAAGACCACTCTGGCTGCTGTGTGGAGAATCAACTGTAAGGGAGCGATGCAGTGAGAGCCCAGAGACGGAGAGGTGCTCTCAATCTTCCAGGACAAAGAAAGGCGGCGGTGGTGGTGGAGATGGGGGGACCTAAGAGATGTGACATTTAAATCTGGGTCAGGAACAGGCAGAGCTTTTTCAAAGGACCGTGTTCTTTGGACCCAAACCTTTGCCTCCTGTGGGGCTTTTTATCAACACAGAACTTAGGGAAGTAAAACTAGGACTTCACACCCTGATAACCACCCAACAGGTTTTGGTCTATGTCTCTGGCCAAAAGGACACTGCCAATGAGATTTCCTTTGGAAGTCATTTCCCAGAGGGAGGGCTGGGTTGTGGAAAGAGGCAGAAGAAAGATGAGAGAACAGTGAGCCAAATGAGTTTAATTTAGCAACATGACCGATGATTTATCCATCTCTTTCTCACACAGGGTCATTCTGGACTGCATGTCATTTAGACTTTTATAGTTCAAGAATGTGGACAGATATGTTAGGCTTTTTTGGCTGAACACTCCTTATAATAGTATTTAGAAACAATCCAATGTTTGTACACAGCAGACAAAACTAGAAGCTCAGCATTAGGCTCTAGCTGGGGTAAATTTGTGCTACAGGGAATTGTTTTTCAATTATAGATGATGTATAATTGTCATCATTTCTCATATTCTCATTCAGGGCTTTCTTGCTGGCTTATAAATACTGTACTTAATTCCCTAAGAACGCCTCAAGATATTATAAAAGTCAAAGTAGGGTCAACTACCATGTTCTCAGGGACTCTGGTGGTGCTGAATTTCCCATGGCGAAGAGGGCCAGGGCCGAAACCCACAACGTTGGGAGGGGCACCCTCTGATATTGCTCTGAAAAATCAAACGTTCTGGTAGCTCAAGCTGAAATGAGGTTTTTACTTTCAGGTTCAGGACAAGCAGAAACCCCCTGAGGACAAGGGATGTTTCTGTTATTCATGGTTGATTCCTCTGAGCCTAACCAATATTTGTGTAATTCGGGAATACGGTCAAAGTGAGTCCTGGCCCAGGTGAAAGCTGTGTGTCCTGTGAAGCAGGAAGTGACTGTTGCTGAAGTCACTCTTCGAGGCAAGACACCAAGTTACTGTGAATGAGGCAACCATCCAGGGAACGGACAAGCCAGTAACCACTGAAGATGTGGTGGCCAGTGCTGTGTCTCTGCACACGTTGCTTCTCTGTTTAGTAAGCTATTACATTAGGTCCTCCCTGCATAGGGTACTTAGAGCTAAGCAGCCAGGGGGGATGAGCTCACGGGTGGCAATGACTGTCCAGAATATACAAAAACAGAGCACACACACAAAGCTCTCCATCCTGTCCAATCCATGTCTGCAAATGCACTGATGCCCTGATCTGAGAAGGTCTCACAGCTGATCAGTCAAGCATTTCTGTGCTCTAGAAAAGATTGTCTCTTGTTTTTCAATATATAGTACAGCTTTTCAAGTTATAAAGCAGAACAAAGACTATATTTGCTAAGAATGGGTCTTCTGTTTATATTAAAAGATATACTTCAGAGTCTGGGAAGGCTTTGTGGCTTCCTTACTTGGAAATTTTAATTGTGATAATGGAATCCATTAAATTCACCTAGCTTTCCCACAAGATTCTACGCCCTCACAGTTGTACCTCTCTCCTCTAGGAGAGAAATAGTAAAAATGTGCAACGAGAAAGACAATATGGGAATATGACTGATTCACAGAATCTGACTGACTCACAGTCAACCAAACTTTGATTTAGAGCACAATACAATCCTAGAATATACTCTCTTCGTGGAATTACTGTGATTGCTAGTGTTACAGAAAATAACCACCTAGTGGAATAACAATTATTCTGTAGATCCCCATGAACCTAAGAAACATTATTTCTTAGGTATATTTCACTGAAGGCATCTTTTAAATGCCACATTTCTGTGTGTGGAAAAGCCAACTTCATTATCTGAACACATAGTGAGTCAACTAAACTTCCAATCACAACCATTTTCTGCATAAAATCACAGCTGTTTTGATTCATTCAGCATGATAAAAATGATACGTTTTTTTCTTATTATTTCAGTTATAATAATGATAAGACCATCGCTTTATGATTATTATTTTTTAGAGCTTTGTAATTTTGGATGCACTTTCACACATCACCTCACTTTACTCCCACACAAGCCTTGTGAGAGAGGCTTCCCTTGCATTGCTCATAGGAAGGGGACAGACAAGGTCAAGCAACTTGCTCACAGCCGAGCTGCATGTTTATCCGGGATCCACATCCCTTGACCCTGTTGTGAACTTTACCTACTAAACTCTGAGGTTTGAATAAACTCATGGCTTTGTATGGGCTGGAGATGCACAATTTCTGAATTGTTCCTTTATCAGACTATACAAACTAATCTGAAAGGAATGTCCTAATTTAGAAAACAGAGTAACAAAAACCAAGAGCAAAAGGAAGCTACTAATGAACTGAGATTTGATTTGAGGCTATTAAGAGTTATTTTGATAAACTTGAGAAAAATGTAACCTGAATCCCCTTGAATGATGATGAATGTCTATTCATAGGTCTTGTGTGTGTGTGTGTATGTGCGTGTGTCTGTGTGCACACATGCGCCCATGCGTGTGTCTCTGTGTATTAGGCTTACAATTTATATTCAGTTTTTCAAGGGGGAACTGAACTTTTCAGCCCAGAAAAATAAATGTGAAACAGATGATTGCTAATTATATGGCTAATGGATCACTCTTTCCTCCAATGCTGAATGATTATGCTTCACTGTCTAAATAGGTTTTCCCTCATTATTAAGTATTCTTTTCCACATAAATCCTAGTGTGCAAATGTCAATGAGAAATTAAAATGACTTTTTTGAAACCTAGAGTTATTTCATTAATACACTGCAATAAAACTCCCTTAGGTTAGAACCTTGGTGAGAAGAAAAATGCCCATTTAGAGGAGTCTGGAAAACATCTTTAGAAGAATAAAGGAGGAATTCAATAGTAGCATGGAAGCTACTGGAATAGAAAGAGCTATGATTCACAGAAAACATTCCTTCTCTTTTTTTCTTTTTATTCAACAAGAACCTATTGAACACCTTCCATGCACCAGATGCTAGGGATGCAAAGATATAGAAATCATGGTCCTTGCCTTGGTATGTCTCAATGTATTGGGTTGTCAGAAAAGTCAGGACACATTTTTGCAACAAAAAACAGAAAAAAATACGTCATGACTTTTCCAACAACCCAACAGTAATAGAAGGTGAGACAAGGTGATAGTTAGGAAAAGAAGAAATACCATGCTATTATCTAATCTAAGCAATCCATCTCTCAAAGACATGTATTCAGGTATACACATCTCTGCATCTCATGACCCTTGACATCACTGCCAAGAAGGGGACACTAAAGGATAAATAAGTTCAGGGGCAGGGACATGGAGAAAGATCATAAGTTCATGTTTGAAAGTGTTAAGGTCAAGATACCCATGAGGAGATGGCTTGTGGGGAGTTAGATAAATGAGTCTGGCGCTCAGGAGAGCAGCCTGGGACGGAGATACAGAGTAAGTGTGGCCGGGATATAGACAATATCAAAATCCACAGTATTGGATGAGGACACTCTGGGAGCAAACATAGGTCCATAGGCAGCTGAATTACAGAGGTTAGTTAGAAATGCAGACTCTGAGGTTGGACTGCAAATAGTCCTATGTCTACCTCTTACCATCACTGGGCTCTTGGGCAAACTATTGAACCTCTCTATGCCTCAGTTTGTTCAACTGTAAAATGGGAAATGATGGCAATACCAGGGGTGCCAAAAACATGTACACACATTTTAAGAGATGTTTTCTATGTATGACTTTTTGAAGTTGAATTGAATTATAGTATATATAATGTATATATAATGTATATATAATGTATATATAATGTATAGTATGATGCACTCAAAAGATGGCATTAATCAAACGAATGCTAGCGTCACCATGTGACAAGTAGGACAGTCAAAGAAAATGGCGGAAGCACAGCTGTCGTTGGAGGAGCACAAGACCATTTTGAAGTGGTATTTGAAATTAAAGAACACTGTGGAAGTACAACAACAATGGGGGCCTGAGTATGCAACAGACCCTCCAATGCACCTAACAACTACATGCATTTGTGAAGAGTTTGAGACTCATGGTCCTGTGTGTGATGTGCACAAGGGAAGATCTGGGAGGCCTCGCACAGCAACAAGTCCTGCTTCTTCTGCTGTGGTGTTGAAACAGTTTACATGCTTGCCACAGAAGGCTACCAAACAGTGTTCGCCATACTC